ACTATGGCTTTTGTGTCACAAGTTGAACCTAAGAGTATTGATGAAGCACTACAAGATGAACATTGGTTAATGGCTATGCAAGAGGAACTAAATCAGTTTGAAAGAAATGAAGTATGGGATTTAGTGCCATTACCAACTGATTATCCAATTATAGGAACCAAGTGGGTTTTTAGAAATAAGCTTGATGAATCAAGAATTATTATAAGAAATAAGGAAAGGTTAATGGCTAAGGGGTATAATCAAGAAGATGGAATTGATTATGATGAGACTTTTGCCCCTGTAGCAAGGATAGAAGCCATTAGATTACTTCTTACTTATGCTTCTATAATGAATTTCAAGTTTTATCAAACGGATGTGAAAAGTTCTTTTCTTAATGGTTTGATACAAGAAGAAGTGTTTGTGGAGCAACCACCAGGTTTTGTTGATTTTAAGTATCCTAATCATGTGTATAAACTTATGGGGCCCACATGTGTCTTCAAGGATGGTCCTCCATCAGGGGGAGATGGACTTCTAGTTCTGCCTAGCCTACTACTGGGTATTGGGAGGCCTTTGTAGTAGAGACCGTTGGGGACAATTTTGAAAAACCATTATTTTGTCACGTTCAACCCTTGGGTGAGGCGTAGAGATTGGATTATGTGTCCACTACCTCGATGGTGGATTCTTTGTGGAGTGTTGGTAAGTTAGGCTCTGACTTTTGCTATGTTGATACATTGAGTGACTTTATTCGTGGCATGATGGAAACTACGGGTCTAGTTAAGATTTTTGATGCAGTTGGTGTAATGTTGACTGAGTCTTTGTCGATGATGGATTTTTGGAAAAACAAGTGGGTGAGTAGTGTTGCCTACATAAAGAGGTGTCAAACCCATGTAAATAGGACCAATTCTTAAGTTTTATTGGCCTAATTAGCTCATAGGAAAGTTATGATCACCTTCGCTATGATCTTAAGGTTTGAGGAGAAGATGGATGAGAAATGGAGAGGTTATGCTGAAAAGGTCCTTGTTGGTGAGAATAGGGAGTTGAAGGATAATGACGCAAGTTAAAGGAGCTTGTTGTTCGAGATAAAAAGGTGAAGATGTTGAAGGTCGAGTTGGAGGTCCTTCAAACTAATAAGGCTACACTAGTGGTGGCATGTTCCATCTCAAGGGCAAGCAAAACAAGCTGTTGAGCGAGAAGAGCCACCTTGAGTTAGAGAAGGGTGATTAGTTTGCTAAGAGACAAACTTAGTTAGAGAAGGTGAACATAATGGCATCTAAGGTGGCCAAGCTTGCTAACAAGATGGGTCTTCTCATCTTGGAGAAGGGTTAGTTTTTAGGCAAAAAAAAAAGGAATTGGATGAAAATTTGGTTGTCATTGAGGAGGTTTTATGTCTAAAGCATGTTAAGGTTTTTAAGAAGGCTATTTATCAAGTTTCATTCTTTGCCTTAGATTTCCCTTGTGATAAGCTAAATGTTGATTTCGATGTCTATAATGGGGAATTTGTGAATAAGCTTTCTATTCTAAACGAATAGGATAATAAAGAAGAAGAAATGACTTCTACACAAATAGTTGCTCCAATGATTGTAAGCATTGGAGAGGTCTTGGCAACTGTGGAGACTATTGATTCGATACCATCTAAGGGGATTGTTGACCTAATAGTTTCTGGAGAGAAGACTACTAAAGTTGACGTTGTTGGGCAGTCAAGTAAGAATGCTAATGAGGCAATGGCAGATGACTTCTTCATCTAAATATATCTTGCTTTATGCTTTTGTATGAATAATGTTTACTTTCTAATGAACTTTTATTCAAGCTCTTGAATTTAATTCTTGCGACTATCATTTTAATTATCTCGTTTTTCATAATTTATCTTTTGTAATTACTTGAAGCGAAAAAGCTCGAAAGCTCGTGACTAATTATCTAGGAATTTGTAATTGATTATCTTATAGACATTATAATGCTAAAAGCTTAAAAGCTTACATCTCAATTATTTAGTGATTGTTAATCGTTAAGAGCTTGGAAATTGATAATTAGATTAGCTTGTAATTGTTTAATGCTAAAAGCTTGGAAGCTCATAATTTTTTATTAGCTTGTAATCGTTTAAACATGTGATCTCAAGCAAAATGATCAACTAGTGATCTTAGGTGACATGATCAACTTGTGATTGTTTAGATGATGTGATCAACTTGTGATTGCTTAGAAGATGTGATCAAATTGTGATTATTTAAGTGATGTGATCAACTTGTCATCGTTTAAGTGATGTGATTAGCTTGTGATCATTTACATGTCGTAATCAACATGGGATCTTAAGTGGTGTGATTATCTTGTGATAATTTATGCAACGTAATCAGATTGTGATCTTAGGTGATGTGGTCAACTTGTGATCTTAGCTGACATGATCAATTTGTTATCATTTAGTCGACATGATCAGCTTGTGGTAATAGGTGATATGATTGGCTTGTGATCTTTTAGGTTAAACTTTGAAATAAGCAATATGCAAGTATCAAAGTAAAAGAAAAGGGGAATTTCATTCATGTATTTTGTTGAATCCCTTACATTCCCTTCAGGTCTTGGTAATTAGTGGCCTTGTTGTCATCAAAAGCATGGGTGTCTGCTTGTTCTCTTGGGGGGTCTTGGTCTTGTCTTTCACGTCACCCCCTATTGTCTTTGTCTTGGTTACAACCTTTGCCATGAGGTCGATTGTCTTGATGGTCTGACTAGACAAACTATTTGAGGTGAATAGTTAATGTGAGTTCTTTGATTTTTGCACAAAGTGCCCAACATTCCTCCGTGGTGTGCCCCACATTCTTGTGGTATCGACAATTTTTGTTATAGTTTAGGCCTTCTTGAACTTGCCCTAGCTTGGGTAAGATAAGTACTTGTGTGTTGAAAGCTTCCTTTAAAACATTAGTTATGGGAACAATGAGGGGAGTGTAGGAGTTATACTTAGGTGGTTTTGGAGTTAGCCATTCTTAAATTTGTTGTCATTGTGAGGGTGTAGCTGGTCCGACCTAAAGGACTCACCCTTAGTATGGGAGGTGGAGGCTCGGATCTTTTGCCAATTTGCTTTGTGCTCCTCTATTTAGATGAAGCTAGTAACGTGTGTTCTGATTTTATCCAAATGGGCAGGGGCATAGAGGTAAAGGTTGTTGGAGAAGGGACCTAGCTCAAGCACCTATAGCATTGTGCTAAAGGCGACTTGGGGATGAAGGTCATGTATGCTTTTAGCCACGATGAATAATCTCTCCATAAATGCTCTTTGGGGTTTGTTGTCTTCTTGTTGGAGACTTAACAAGGCTTGGATGGATGTCTGGTGAGATTAACTCATAGCAAAATGTGTCTTGAATAGGAACTTCAAAATGGCATAGCTTGGTATGTTTCTCAATGGAAGGCAAGTGTACCAAAGTAACACAAGTCCTTCTAGTAAGGTTGGGGATAATTTGCACATGACTGCCTCATTATGTTTGTACAGTTGCATCCGAGTTGCATTAGTAACTAGGTGTTGTTTGGATAGGTCAATCCATCATACAACTTCATGGTGATGTGTTTCCACCCTTGGAAAAAAGGATGTTCATGATTTTGACTATGAAATGGTGCTCTCCTTTTAGACGTGGTGAATTGGACCTATCTAGGATTCTAGCCTTCTTGGCCAGGATGGGCATCTAGCACTTAAGGGCGAGTGTTTCTAGTGGAGTGTGATTGGGATGATATGTATATATTCCTCCACAATGAATACCATGTGTGGCTAAAGGATTGTTTCACTTCGGCCCCATAGTGGGCGTCAAATGTTGCTACCTAATTTGCAAGTACTACCTAAAAAGAGACTTTAACGGTCAAGTTAAAGGGGAGTTTAGAGGTATGGTAAAAATTAGGGTTAGAATGATACCGGTGCCCTTAAATAGGTGTTTGATTTCTATCATTAAGTCAAAGATTTGATTGTTGGAGTGATAATATATCTCATCGATTGGACAAAGATAATGTGCTTAATTGTGATAATCTAAGATCTTAGGTGATAATTGTGAAAATATATTATGTTAGTCATTGGGGTTAACTGCCTAAGGTTTTCCTTTATGATGATGGGCTGGAGGCTAAGGATAGAATAGGTTAGGCAAAACCAAACTTTAAATATATATGTCTAACCTATTTTATAAAATTAAAATTAACTTAAGCATGATTTATTATTTATGATAGTTTTTTTTTTAAATCTGGTTTGACCTATTAACCTATTTAAAAGTTTATTTTACATTAACAACATTAAATAAGTAAAAAAATTAATTTTAAAACCAACAATTATTTTATTATATCATACAGATAAAAAGGTTGGTCTATCAAGCTTATCATATTTTTTTTATAAGTCTAAATCTAGTCTTTTTAAATAAATTTTTTTTTAAAAGTCTAAACCTAACATTTACATTAAATAAGTCATATTTTAAACAAATCAAGTCATAAACCTTTATTTAAAGTCTAACTTATTTTCATTTTTAGTAAAAATCTAACGTGAGCAAGAAAAAGAGCTAAAGAAAAAGAGCTAATTGACTGTAGGCAAGTTAGGTGGCACAAAATGGAGAAGGGTTTATTCTTAACTCATCACATGAGAATTTAGTAATTTATTAACTTAATAATCTCAAAATTTAATAATTAAGATTACAAAAATGGTCACATTTAATAATTAAAATTAATCCTAAAATCTTATATATCTATTTGTTGTGTATATTGTAAATATATTATATGCATATTTCAATAATTGTTTGTAGAAGAAAATTAACATCAACTTGTATTAATAATAATTTTGAATGAAAAATTGCTATACAGTTTCCAATAATGGTCGAAGTTGTAACATCTCAATATTGTCATCTCCACCTCCACTGTCCCTATCGATACGAAAACAAGAATTTGCATCCCTATCGTCACGATTTCCAACAACCATTTCATCATCACCATCACCATCACCATCTCCATCATCAATTAGACGACGATCAGCACCACCATTCTCACGACCAATTTTCTTACCACCGATACAAGCACCAGCACCAGCACCACCAACACCAACATCACCAACACCAAATGGTCAGCTTTATCATCCTATACGTTATCATGATTCAGGTATCTATTATTATTCTTTCTTATAATTTAGATAAAGCTAGCATAACTATTAACTAATTAATCACTTGCTTTGGAAAATGTTCAGAACAATATGGATGTGTATACATCTATTTTTATTTTATTTTTGGTAAACAGAGAAAACAACTCTATGAAAAAATGTTGGTTCAATTCTATGTTGTTTACAGGAAATTAGAATACATGCGTGAATCTAGTAAATCAATGGATAGTTTTGATCCTATTGAAAATACTTGTGTAAAAGAAGAATCCAAAATTTTAACTGCCATGAATGTCATAGTTGGAATGATAGTGACAATGTTGGTTACAGTTATTTGGATTACCTAATAAATGTAATAACTAACATCCAAAGTCGTTTCTTTTCTGATAAAACTTTTCTACTTAGGGATAATAAGAAAAAAAAATTATTTTTTTAAAATATTGAAAATCAAACTTTGGATATTGGCAATGATCATTCGTTTTTAAGAAAAATGAAAATAACTGTTTCTCTTTTCCTCTCTTCTCTTTTCATGCTTTTCTCAATGTTATGGTTTTGCTTCGTATTTTAATTTTAAGCTTTATGTTGTGTTCATCTAACAAAAAAATATATTATTGAATATACTTTAACAAGCCAAATAACTTGCATCCACTCAGTTAGGTAACAAATCAACTCCATTTCCCAAACATGGTATTTTGCTTGTTCATAAATGTTATGTGGCTAAATGAACCCATTTGATTTAGTTCATTAGTCTAAGCTAAGGTTTTATGATATAAAAAACTGAAATGTGGAAAAGATATGTCAACTAAAATGTTTAAGTGATTACTATCAAACAAGATAATTTCCTCAAATCTAAATAATCTTCATAGAAGACTTAAGTTACAACTGTTAATACGCGATTCTTCTTTGCTGTTTCTAATTATTGTTGCAGGTAATGATCAATTTGGAAAAATCAAAATCATCATAGGTAATCGATCAATTATTCTTTTATATCTTCAGTTTCACTATTTTGATTTACATTTATGAACCTTGTTACAAATTTTGACTTTTATTTTTAAGATAAAGGCAATAAGAAATGAAACTAGGCTAGTGGTTATATAAGTCTAAACACCATGCATCTCTATTCACCAAAAACAAATCACAATACATCGCATAATAAACTATCTTGAAAATTTTAAGTTATTGCATGAAATATATTTAAATGATTTTATGTCTAACAATTTCAATATTCAACTTCATCAAGCATTCATAATTGAGTCTTTGGTGAGAGTTGAGAAGGGATTTTATCATGAGCAAGCCTAACCTTAACTTTCATTGGAAAGATCATAATGTTATCTCTCTTTTATATTTAGGTTTAGATTCCAAGACATGTATTAAAGTAATAAAATTAGTTTTCCAAAACCAAAGGATAACTATAGTATCTTAACGCTTAACTCTTCTATTATATTGCTTAACAGGTGTTACAAGTGCAGTAGTAGGAGGGTTATGCATCATAATTTGTTGTCGTAGGTATAAGTCACTAACCCGACTACTCAAAAAAAATTGTTTCACAACAAAGAGTGATCTAAAGATTGAAGCATTCTTAAAAACACATGGTGCCATATCACAAAAAAGATACAAATATTCAGAAGTCAAGAAAATGACTAATTCCTTCAAAGTTAAACTAGGCCAAGGTGGTTTTGGTGCAGTGTACAAAGGAAAGCTACCCAACAATTGCCCCGTGGCTGTAAAATTATTGAATGCATCAAAACGAAATGGAGAAGACTTTATCAATGAGGTTGCTAGCATCAGTAGAACCTCTCACATTAATATTGTCACACTTCTTGGATTTTGTTTGGAAGGTCGCAAGAAAGCTCTCATCTATGAATTTATGACCAATGGTTCCTTGGAAAAATTTATCTACCAAAAAGGGCCAGAATCTATTGCATCTCTGAGTTGGGAGAATCTTTATCAAATCTCCATAGGGATAGCTCGAGGGTTGGAATATTTGCACAGGGGATGCAACACTCGAATTTTGCATTTTGACATAAAGCCACATAATATTCTTTTGGATGAGAACTTTTGTCCCAAGATATCAGATTTTGGGTTAGCAAAACTTTGTACTAGGAAAGAGAGCATTATTTCCATGTCAGATACAAGAGGGACACTAGGGTATGTAGCTCCAGAAATGTGCAATAGACATTTTGGTGGAGTTTCACATAAGTCTGACGTTTATAGCTATGGAATGTTGCTGCTAGAAATGGTAGGAGGGAGGAAGAACATTAATGCTGAAGCTAGTCACACAAGTGAAATATACTTCCCACATTTGGTATACAGAAGGCTTGAGTTGGACAATGATTTAAGACCAGATGAGGTGATGACCACTGAAGAAAATGAGATTGTAAAGAGAATGACCATAGTGGGTTTATGGTGCATTCAAACGTTTCCAAATGATAGACCTACAATGAGTAGAGTAGTAGATATGTTGGAAGGAAGCATGAATGCCTTGGAAATACCACCAAAACCTATGTTTTCTTCTCCTACTAGATCCACTTCAGAATCTCCCTCTTAAAATAAAATACATTGCATTATCGGCAAATCTTTCAAGTTATATTGTAAAACAGATCATTTAACATGTTTGTTTGGTACATTTTAATCATTTTGAAAGCAAATGGATCTTTATTATATTTATGAGATTTTGCCTTACTTAAAATTTGAATAAATTTTAGATAGGATCTTAGTGTTGTAATATGTATATATATATATATATATATATATATAGTCCTAGAAAGAGAGATAAAAGAAATATAAATAATAATAAAATATTTATGATATAAA